ACATTATAACTAAAACTAAAAACTCAGAGTCCCAAAAGGGGAGAATCGTAACATTTTTGGGTCCTCCACCAGCTTCTGCTAATCATTGTTTTAATCTGAGCCTTGGATCCATCGACTCTTCCAGAGTTATAGTGAACCTCTTAGCATTTATTACTGATGTTTTATTATTTTAAACTGAGAATAAATGAAACACCAGCAGACTGATAAATTCACAGCAGAACCGAAATATAAGTAGGTCAATTTAAGTGGATTTTCCCTTGCATCAAATGAAAGGTAAATAAATTTGTTTCAGGAAAGCTTTACTAATTCTTAGACCAGTTTTATGCAGAGTAATTAAAAGATTGATGTATGGAACTGTTTTTACTAGGTTTTATTTTGGATTAATAGAGTAAAGGGAGATAATTCCAAATGCATATTATGCGGTGTGAAATTGCATTTGTAAAAAATGTCACAAACGTAAAGAATGATGCTTCCTCTCCCCAATAATGCCAAACTCATCATTTGCCTTTTACGTGGAATCTTGTTACAATATGCTGATGTTTCTATAAGTAATGGGATTACTTTTATAGGTACTGGATATAAAAAAAAGTGTTTGTTTACCTATGTGGAAATATTCAATCACATATCATATGTTTGGCATTCAGTAGCAGCTTCTTAAACGAGTTCAGTATCTTATTGTTTTTAAAAGCCCCTTAAATTTACTGCAAAAAGAGATATGGAGAAGGAGGAAGAAAAACTACTGGGTATTAAATTCAGCCTAAATGCACATAAAACTCATGGTCATGTAAAGCAATGCTAATACTCTGTATGCACCCAATTTTAAAGGTTAGTGTGATATTAAATGGCTTAGAGAAAAGTAAAATCACTTTAGTTAAAAAAAAACTGCTAAAAAAAAAAACAGCTGGCCAACCTAAACTTGAAATAGATCAGGCACATTTTTCTTTTACATCTTCTAGCATTTTGGTCTTCTGAAAATTCTTATATATTTTTTTCAGAATTTACACATATGAGCAAAAATAATGCATCGCAAATGCAGTATTTTAAAAGAAGAAAACACGTAACATGAGCAAAATAGATTGAGAAAATGAAGTAAAATCTTAAGATGGTGGTTGGTCACAGCAGTGCGACGGTTCGGGTGAGACGGTTCTAATGCTGATGATGGTGGTGATGAAATGATAGGAGAGTCATCCTTAAACTGGAATCCTAAAATGAGGAAGAGTTTAATCATTGCTGAGGAAATACTTCCTGAACCCCAGGAAGACACTTATGTAAATATTAATAAAAAGAAAAGAAAATGTTTGTCACTAATGTTGGAAAACCTTGAGAACAACAGGATTTCATTGAAACATGTGCAACAAATTTACCCCTGGAAAGTTCAGAGGTGCTTCTGTTTCTCTTTTTCACATCACATAGTTATACTGAAGTCATTAGAGCAAATAGATCTTTTTTTAGAGCCACATCAGACTTTTCTGCCTCATTCTAATCAATATATAATAAAGTGCAGTAAAGTCCTTAAGTGTTTATCTTATGATTTCATTATTTCATTTGGGGATGCCTGGATTTTAGATTAAGCTTAAAATAAAACTTGTTTAAAATGAAAATGAGGGATTAAAGCCATTAACAGTTTGGATCAAAAAGCAGATTTTTTTGCTTGTTTTCTAAATGCAAGTCAGCATCTTTATAAATCCAACTAGTAACGCACAGATATTGATGTCTATAACATGTAACCAATGTTACTAGAGGTATTAAATTAATTGTTATTTTCACTCACTGTAAATACAGAAAACAGCACATAATCACAAAAGCACATATAAATAAAAAATATCAATAAAAAAAAAATAGAAAGAGAAAAAAAATTTTTTTGCTGAAAACTTCCTCTTTGTTTTAGATTGATATAGATTTGCTTGTTGGCTCAAAACCACAGACTGCATTATTATTTTTATTAGAGTTTCATTTGATAGATAAATGTAGACCACAACCGGAAGTAAAACAGAAACACACATGGGCAAAACTTTTGGTTCCCCATTTTTGATGAAAATAAAACCCATGATTGTTAAAGAAAATTTTAGAATCTGACCAAAGTAATTCAACCATGCTTTACAAAATGATTACAAAAAAATAAACTCATGAATCCGGCTTGGACCATTATAGATGGTCCATCTAGAAAAGACAGAAAATAATGTGACCAAAGGGACATGGCAAATCATGGTGTGGGGTGTCTCCACTACTTGGCATCACAGGTTTCCACAATCAGGGCCGGAATTAGGAAATTAGGGGCCCCAGGCAAAGGCAGGCGTGGGGCCCTCTGAATTGAGAAGACAACGCATAAAACAGAACCATTTTACAGATACAGATTTTTTTATAGAAGAAACATACATTATGTGCTCCACCTTTTGTCCCTCTCTTCTTACCCATTTTCTTCTTGTTTTCCACTGTTTTCTTTTTTCCCTTTTCTTTTCATATTGACAATGTGCTCAGCCGACATTTCATGCATTCAAGGAATGAGAGATTTTTCCAATCACTACTTAGATCGTTGCTCCTTCCTTCATCCTTCTTTTCACTGTAGATAAACTATAATCTGCTTATCTGTTCTCCATTTTTCATTTGGATGAAATAATAGCTGCATGAATCATGACAGCAGACAAGATAGAGGAGAGCAGGAGGCGGGGTTACCAATCTACTTCTCCAAAGTCTACATGAGCAGAAAAAAGTCTCTAGATTTGGCGCTAGCCGCTTTTTTGAAATAAAAGTGCTAGAGGGGTCTGAAAAGTCGCTAAATATAGCGACAAAAGCGCTAAGTTGGCAACACTGCTCTTTGCATCGTTTGTTTTCAAATGGTTTGCTGCTGTCTGTTTGGACCTTTCTGAACATAAGGTGCATTAGTTGCTGCGCAAATAATCTGATCCAATGTGGATCATTCTTCCCATTAGAAAGAATTCTGACATTTAAGCGAAAGGATTTTTTATTAAAAACATTATTAATGAGCACAAATATAATAACTGCATTAACCATACATGTAAAAGTAGTTTTAAGGGGGAGCCCAGAAACAAAGGGACCTAGGCAACTGCCTGGTTTTACCTTATGGTAAATCGGCCCCTGTCTACAATATAGAAAGGACTATAGGTTGGCACTGTGCTTTTTGGTGACATGGTATGTACCACACTCAACATGGACTCAAGAAAATCTCAGATTAGAATGGAAATGATTGACTGGAATGTTAGAGGTAACCATCTCAAAGTAGATTGATGTTCCTTTCAATACAGCTGCACATATTATTCAGAAATTACAGATCAATGGGACTGTAACCAACTTTGTGGCTGTAGAAGGAAAATGAATGACAGACAAAAGAGACGGATAATAGGAATGCAACAAAAGAGACCAAACTAACTTCTAAAGAGATTAAAGGTGAACTTCAAGCTCTTTTAAGATAAGTGTGAGATCGCACCATCCATCAATGTTTGAGCCAAAGTGGATTTAATGAGAGACGACCAACGAGGAAACCATTGTTTGAGACAAATCATAAAAAAGCCAGACTGGAATTTACCAAATCACATGTCTACAAGTAACAAAGATTCTTAGAGGATTTCCTCTGTGTCAGGATTCCTGTCAGTGTGGTTTGTGTTTTTGTGTTTGTCTCCCTTCCTCCACTAGGAGGCGCCTGGTTCTGATCCGCCTCCTTACACACCTGCGGAGGGTTACCTCGTTAACGGAGTTCTCTTAAGCTGCTGACTGCCACTACCTCGACGCCAGAGTGTTTGCCAGTTTTGGGTACTCTAGCCAAGCTGAGTTTTTACTGAGTCAAACTGAATTTTGTCAACCGGAGTCCTAACCAAGTTATTTTGTCTTTGCCTCTCGGCAGGAAGTCATCCTGCAAACTGGATGTTTTTGGACCTTCTCTCCCTGGAAGGATCATCTGAGCTTCAAACTGAGCTGGGGATTCAAACTGGAGGTTTCGATCTACTTTCCTCCAAGGGATCGTTTGAGCTTCACACTGAGCAAGGGATTAATCTCCACACCAACCCGTTCAAGTACCGAAGGAAATCCAAGTGGCAGTCAGTTTTCTCCGTTCACCTACAAACAATAGCATTCTGGGTAAACCCTGTCCACCCTCCACCGAATGAGACAAACACTGGAACTACCACAAACAGACTGGAGTCAAAGAGTCAACCACTTTCCTGGAAATGTGAGTCAGCAACCTAATTCTTCTCTTCAAGTTCGAGAATCAAATTTCCCACTGAGCCTGAACTAACTGCAGTGTCTTCCCCTCACTTTCCACTTCCGGTTAAGCCATGTTCAGAACAACACTAGATTCTGCATTATGTCCTCCTGTTAAACCTTTCCCCTGGTCTCTCTGAATTGGTTTCTCTGCATGTGGGTCTCGAGCTCTTGATAAAATCATGACACTCTGGACAGATGAGACATGGAACATTTTGCGAAGGAACATCCACTCTATGATGGTAAAATAAAGCATATCAAGAAAAGACAACTGTGCCTACTGTGAAACATGGAGGAGGCTCGTCTGGAACAGGGTTCTGAATCTCTGTAGGGTACAAATCTCAAGACTATTAAGATATTCTACAGAAAATGTTCCAAAAGCTAAATTGAATGTAATAAAATTTAATGTCTTGGGTTTTATTATTATTTTATTTATTATTTTTATTATGGATCCACTCGAATTATTGTTTAATAAAGACACCTTCTGATGTCCTCTCAGAGGGTGTATTTGTTACAATGTTGTGCCAACCTCAAACAAGCCTTATTTAAAAAAATCAGCTTTATATTTATTGACGCCAAAATCTTTATTTGTACAGTAGAGTGTAACAGATGCTGTCAGATACAGTAAATGCACTTAATTACAGAGATTTCAACCGCGACTTGCTTAAAGACACAGAGCACACTGTAAAGTGTTACACACTTATAATCACTTTCACCAAACAGAGAAGTGACCGCTGCATGGGTTCGGCCACAGACCACAGCAGTTTAAGGTAATGGTCATTATGATGAGGTATGGATGTGATAGCAAAGGGAAAAAACATACAGCGTGATGAAAACGGTGATGACAGAAACACAGAAAGCCCTGTTTCAGCTTGTTTTTAAGGAATGTGGTGGAGTTGTTGTCTGGACTCGTCGGGAGAATCTCCGCAGCTGCTCTTCTGTTAAAGAGAGCTGAAAGCGGGATTTTCTTCCCTAGAAAGATGTCATTTTAGGCTCATGATTTATCATTCATCACAGAAGAAATTTCCAGGGTTTAAACACTTTAGATCTTCTAATTACAAGTAGCTCCCATGACCGACCGCAATCTACCTTCTAGGGGAGAGGCGGTGGGGGAGGGGGAGGTGGTGGTGGTGGTGGCACACCGCCGGCTGCTGGAGGAGGAGGAGGAGGAGGAGGGGGAAGAGGTAGACTGGTATTGCTGGCAGCAGGAGGTGGAGGAGGTGGCAGGAAGCTGTTGTCCGACAGGGTGGCGGTTGGTGGAGGAGGAGGTGGGGGGAGATTTGTTGGGGAGGGAAAGGAGGATGGAGGAGGGAGGCCAGCGTCCGTAGAGGGAGGAGGGGGAGGCAGGTTGGTAGCAGAGGCAGGGGGAGGAGGGGGAGGCAGGCTGCTCTCGGTGGGCTTAGTGGGAACAGAGGGCAGAGGAACGGCGATGCCGTGGCTCGACCTGTTGATGCCAGACAAAAAGAGAGGAACCAGAAACTCTGAATAAAACAAACAAACAAACCTCAAACAGGCCTTAAAAAAAACTATCCAACAGAATATACATCTAATCACTTCACTATATATCTAGTTATTATGATTAATTTGAATAAATACATTTTTAAATCACATTTTAAAAGAATTTTTGATTATTGATAGGACATTTAATCAACATTTTATAATGTAAAGGTGTATTTTGAGCATGGCCTATTTTCCAGTGTAGACCTGTTTCTCTGACTGACTGGCTGGATGTGCTCTCTTCATCCTCTGACATGGGAGCTGGCTCAGAGCTCGTCTACCTGGCTGTGTGTTTCCTGGACGGGGCCGCCTTCTACAGCTGCTTTTTCTATGTCTGCTTCTGTCTCCTTGAACCCCAGTCGGCCTCAGCAGATGGCCGCTCACACTGAGCCTGGTTCTGCTGGAGGTTTCTTCCTGTTAAAAGGGAGTTTTTCCTCCCCACTGTTGCTACAAGCATGCATTGCCTTTGAGTAAATGAGTCAATGCAATCAACTGGTTTTCCTTACATAGAGATGCCTTGAGATGACATGTGTTGTGAATTGGCGCGATATGAATAAACAGAATTTCATTGAATTCTTTTTATTTTTTTAAGGATACCTGCTATCAGGAACCTTTAATTGATTTAATCATTTTTTTTTTATCAAAAGAAATTGAACTTGCTAATATAAAATTTTTCATTTCTATATATATCTATATATAATATTTATAGGGGAGACACATGGCATCGGATGAAGGGGTCGTCAATTCAAGCCTCGGCTTCGCTTTCAGTGTCATTGTGGGTAAGACACTTAACCTGCATTGCCTACTGATGTTGGTCAGAGGGCCCGGTGGCACCAGTGCACAGAAGCCTCGCATCTGTCAGCGAGCCCCAGGGCAGCTGTGGCTACAATGGAGCTTGGCACCATCAGTCTGTGCTTGAATGACTGAATTTAGTGTAAAGCACTTTGATCAAGTCCTCTGACTTGAGAAGGGGCTATAAAAGTACAGGCCACTTACCATTATTATCTTTATAAGCAGATAAAACAGCATTGCTCAATCAACACAATATATTTAGATCAAACAGATGCAAGTTTGTGTCTCTAGAAAATAATGTCCTGTTCCCTTTAAGACAAAATGGTATTAATGACAGATTTCTTTTTCAGTCAGCTGAGAGAATGTGACTCCTTACTATGGACAGTGAAGCTTGTTAGAGTTAGGCCCCGTCCACACGAAGTCAAAACGAACACGAAACGCTAATATTTTCCAGAACGTTTGTCTTAAAGACGGAGACGTAAAATAAATGTGATCGACCACACGAATGCATGAAAACGCTGCAAAATGTATGCCAGGCCTGTAAGTGGCGCTGTGGTGCCAAAGCAAAAATAGGCGACGAAATGTTGGGCATGCGCACTAATATTTATACAACAACCAAACCGGAAAACCAGAAAACGGCCCTGCGGGTCCATTTTCGTGGTTCAGCCAAATTCAGGTGCTGAACTATGTGGTCGATATTGCTCTGTTCTTCCTGGAGATATTCCAGAAGAAGAAGATTCTGTTGTAAGCCCGACAGCAGGGTGAGTAGCATGAGCAGCAACCATTCAACACAGTACGGCGCCATTGTTGTTGTGATACTGTGTCGCGCATGCGTGTTTAGAGGCGACGATATGACGCATGCGTGTTAAGAAAAAAAAATGCGGTTAGAGCTTAAAGATGGAAACGCGAAAACGGCGTTTCAAAATCTTCCCACTCTGAAGGCTGAATAAGAAAAAGATCGTTTACAGACCCCCGAAACGCCGGCTTCTTATGAGAGGCTGGTTTGGTGAAAAATTTGTGCGTTTAGGCCAGGGTTTGACTTCGTGTGGACGGGGCCTTAATGAGGAGCAAACCCTTCATCCAGAGAAGATCAGGTAAAAAAACATTTTTAAAGGCTGCAGACCTAGGGGGGTGGTTTCCCTCCTGGCAGGACTGCGACCTTAAAGATAAAACCTAAGCCACAGCGGAACGGTTTTAGATCAAAGCACGTTCAGTTAGTATGGCCTAGTCAAAGCCAGGACCTAGATCCAATTAAGAACCTTTGTGAAGATTTTAAAACTGAGTATTCACACTGATTCACAATATTCAAACTTCTTGTTTTTCTATCATATGAAATCCAAATTAAACAATCACAGTTTGTTTTCTCAAAGTCATAAAATAACAAAAATTAAGGATTATGAAGGCTGTAAGGAATCTTTGTACTCTGGAGGAATAAATTAGAGGAAACTTTAAAAACTTACAATACAAATAAGACACATTTAGATCTACATACGCTGAGCGTTCTTCAGTTTTCTCTGTGTTCTCTGTGGTCTCTGGATTCTTGCTGGACGGCTGCCCTTTGACCTTTACAGTGGGGGGAGGCGGTGAGTTTATTGGATGACTGAAAGTAATAAAGCTAAGAAAGGGGGAATGCATACATTAAACGTAAGCATACTTTACCTGGAAATAGTGGCCCACAGAGTCTAAGATGGTGTATGATATCGGAACTCTCATGTAACCGGCCTCCGGTTCCTTGCCTGAAGGGGGCGGGGCCAGGGGCTTTGATCGGGTCTTGTCTTTGGGCGTGGTGAAGGTGCCGATCTCCCGTCGGGCCACCTTCTCCAAGTGGATCGCTGCAGCCTGAATCAGAACACAGACAATAAAACGACCATCACTTGAAGCGCTTTTATTAGAGGAGGGGAGATGTCCTTCTGCTGCGACAAAATGAAGATTTACAATTTATTTATTTATCAACTGGTAGTTTGGTTTCAATGCACAGATGTGATAAAGATCCTATGCATGGCATGTTACTATTTATTCATTTATTGTTATTTATTGTTTGAAAAATCACTTAGAATAGTGATAAAGAATAAAAAAAAGGTGAATTGTGAATTTTATTTCTAATATTTCTCCTCTTTCATTTTTTCCCCATCGGGTCAGTGGCAAATTCAAAGAATAT